AGTTTGTAAATTTTACTGGGAAACCACCCCGTGCTGTCAGGTGACGTGGTGTTCGGACACGTCTAAACGAGCTAGTTGAATTAAAGACCAACTCCAGACTTGATGTTGCTGAGCTCCTCAGCTCCATCTTGCCATCCTGATTGATCGAGGAGATGGGTCTATAGTTAAAGTGGCAGAGTACTTTGAGGGGTTAGTCATTAGAGCACACTGCTTTGTCTTGGAAAGGCAACTTCTTGCTTGGCTAGGTTATGGAAGCTAAGGAGTGACGTCAAGATCTTGTCTGGCCAGAATTTGCAGATAACCATAGAACTCTTCTCCTCCATCAGGCATGGATTTAGCCTCCTTTAGTTCCTGCAGTGACACAGGAGCCTCCAAATACCAAATTATTATCAGGCGGTCTTGGGGGAACCTCTGGGCCCTGCAATAAAGTAGACAGACTTGCTATTGGAACGTGCTCGGGAGGAATTCAGCCCTGTTCAGATTGCTCTACAATCCTGCAAACCACCTCAGGACTTTGTAAATGAAACCTTCATATCACTCCAGATAGTGAAAACATACTTCAGGGGATAAAATGGATCACCATCTTTCACTAAAATTATTTTATGCATCATTTTAAGAAGTCGGATTTGATCATGTTTGTTTATTGTTTTGTTTTTAAAGCCAAACTCTGCAAGTATTGAGCTTGTATCACTCTGGACAAACTACTTCTGAGTATTGTTTGTAAAATAAGGTATTTTTATTCATTGATCCTTCAGGTCTAATTCAGAGTATCACAAACGGGTGGTAGACTGCGAGTCAAACCTGCCTCACACTGATATATTTTTATTTATCTCACCCAGTGTCTTAAATCTTGGGGAATCCACACAAAATAATAAACGCCTGTTTTCTCTGGAAAAAAATTAGAATATCTGGCAATACCAGGCCCATACTCCAGCATGGCCCTCACTACCCCACATCATTTTTCTTCCAGCCTGTTTCTTACATTGACGTGCCTGATTCTTGTTGGTAATTGGGGTTTTGGACCCATGCTCTAACCTATCCTATTGTAATGCCTATCATATTGCATTATGATTATATGATGATCTAACTATCGGCCTTGCCAGTAAGACTCCTTGAGAGCAGGGAACAAACCATCATTTTCAAGAGCTCTCTAGTTCCTAGCATTAAAATAGTGTTATAAATAAATATTTAATGAATCGTCTTTATTATGTAAGTTAGATTCTTAAACTTCAATGAAATGAGTAAGATCATACATACAGATCATACACACATTAGATTCTTACAATTCAGTGATCTTTGTAAGATCATGTGTATATTCTAAAGTCAACATCTTTGAATAGCATGCAGTTTTAGGAAAGAGAAGTAAATAGGCCAGTTTTTGGCTCAAGTCTCTGATGGATCCATAAGAATAGTAACGTTGTACTGTCCATATGATATTATGCTTTAAGCACATGGTAAGTCTTCTAAACTCTCTCTGAGATCTTCTCAATGTTTTTTTCATTGCAACTTCTTAAAAGAGCCCTTCTTTAGAGGTTCTTTAAAAACTCACTTGTAAAAAATATTCAATGGGGCGCATGCCTGCAATCCCTCCCTTGGGAGGCCAAGTTGGGAAGGATCACTTGAGTCCAGGAGTTCAAGACCAGCCTGGGCAACATAGTGAGAACTATATCTCTACAAAAAAATAGAAATAAAAAATAAAAAAAATTAGCCAGACATGGCGGTGCATACCTAAGAGTCCTAGCTACTCAGGAGGCTATGTCAAGAGGATTGCTTGAGCCCAGGAGTTCCAGGTTATAGTGAGCTACAACTGTGCCATTGCACTCCAGCCTGGGTGACAGAGTGAGACTCTGTCTCTAAAATATATGTTTTTTATATACACACACACACACACACGTATAGGTATATGTACATATACCTATATGTGTGTGCATATAGGTATATGTACATATACATATGTGTGTATATATAGAGTACATGTATGTGTGTATATTTATAAAACACACATAAATATGTGTGTGTATATATATACACACACACACATATATATATACACACACACATACATATATATAGTCAATGGGAATTATCTAATTGAAATCTAAGTTCTCAACATATCATGGGCCTATAGCAACAGATTAGTCTACATGTCAGGTCTATACATTTTGAAATATGTTAATTTCTGCATGACTACAATTAGAATGTTCAAAGAAAAGATTTTTTGTCCAAAGCCTATTTCTGCTAAAATTGTTATCTAAATCCGTTTAAATTGGCTAATATATTATTAAAAACTTGTCTAATAAATAAACAACTATGTAGGCAAGTTTGATAGGAATAAAACCAATGAAAATGATTATGAGTCACCTTTCTTGTTACATATCTGCTAGCAATTAATATTTCAGTAATATAAAGCTACATCTGGTCAACATGTGGCCAACATCAAAGGTACACCACGTCCTGTGCTATGAAGGAATAGGTCAACAGATAAAGATCCTGCTCTCCAAGAGCTTACAATCTAACCTAAAAGAAATTGCAGAAACACATGAGAGTGCTCATACTCAATGTTTAACAGAAGGCCACAGATACACCAAAGATAAAGGAAAAAAATTATGAGATAAAAAAAATGACATTTACAAAAGGGTGAAGGGAAGGAAAGAAGTAAATCGCTTCTTCATTCTCATTTATTTGAAAAAGGATTCATGGAAGATTTGTGATTTTAAGCGTTCTTAAAATCATGAGCGTATACGTGGCTTGTTGCCTGGAAAAATGAAAATCTCTTTTGGTATATGGTGTGGAGTGACTGAGGACACAAAGCCGGGACACTGCGGTTGGGTGCAGGGCCTAGCAAGACTTTATACAGAAGGAATGACCAAATGGAGGTTGGCCACTTGGTAGAGGCCAGAAACTGACAGGAGGCACAGAATGACTGACCCACACAATCAAGACTACTCCAAAGGGAACCCAAACCTTTGCAAAAAAATCTCCACAGACTCCAGATTAAGGAAATAACCTTTGAAGCCTTTCTTCCTGGATTTCTTTTTTTCTTGAGACGGAGTCTCACTCTGTCGCCCAGGCTGGAGTGCAGTGGCCAAATCTCAGCTCACTGCAAGCTCCGCCTCCCGGGTTTACGCGATTCTCCTGCCTCAGCCTCCCGAGTAGCTGGGACTACAGGCGCCCACCACCTCGCCCGGCTAGTTTTTTGTATTTTTTAAAAGAGACGGGGTTTCACTGTGTTAGCCAGGATGGTCTCGATCTCCCAACCTCGTGATCCACGTATCTTGGCCTCCCAGGGAAGAAAGCACTTCCAGCCATGTAGCCCACTTTTGTCTAGAGGATCTCATTTGTTACTTTGTTTGTTTGCTCTCTTGCTCATTTGTTCAATTTCTCTTACTGGACTTGTTGGGCTGATCGGGTCTACTTAATTATGCAGCTTTATCTTTCCTCCCTCCACAAAGGAAAGCAACTTTTTGAGGGTATGTTAATTTTAGTCAGCCTCAATTATACTACAGCCTCAGGCTAACTGAAAAGCATCATAGGCCTGGTTTGGGTGGTGACTGAGGTGTCAATGTCAAAGTACTCTATTCCTAGGGAGAACAATCAAAATGATGACAGATGCTCCCATCACAGTATCCTGCTTAGTCTTACTCCTTATTTGACAGTTCTGCGTACAGGGCATTCCAAGAATCTTTGGAGGAGGCTCACCCCATCAAAGAAGGCACATTTTAAGCAATACCTCTACTCACCTTGTTCACACCACAATGACAGTATTAAGAGTAATAATACCTTGATTTCAACTAATACTTCTTATTTCAAGGAGCTCAATATTCTTCACACATTATTCTATTTATCTTGTCATGTTACAGAGTCAACCAAAATCTCTGGTGGATTCGTGTCTCACACATTAAAAGCTCATAATACTGTTCTTCCTAACATTTAAATTCACATCCAACCTTAAACATACCTTGGGATAAATTTGAGTGAATAGGATGAAGTTATAGATATTTCCTTATACATGCACAGATCTGACACTCATTGCTAAGGCCCTTCATCCCATGAAAGCTCTTGACAAAGAGTCAGCCCCCAAAGCCTAACCTTGCAGTAATCCTCTACCTTACCTCTATGACAAGGTAGGAGAATGGTATTTAAGTCGGGATAGAAACATGCAGGATACCCACTCCTTAGTGGCAGGGAATCTCTGGGATCCGGGCCACCTGATGTCATTGCCCTCACGGCCCCTTAGTCACGTATGAAGGAAGGCCTGGAATCCCAATGCCATAAGCCTGTTTGTCCACCGTGGGTTTATTTTGTGTTGTCTTTAAGGCTGTGCTACACGTTTAATATTGGAGCAGTGGTGCAGAAGATAGCACAAAAAGCCCTTAGAAAAATCTCAAGCTTGGTAACAGAGATTAATGGGTTAATTTGGTTTTGAAAAATGAAAGTCAATGTACTTAATATGCAAATCATCTGCTAACATGTCTCCTTGCTATTGTGGCAACACAACAAGGCCTCATGGTGGGAACTCAGACTGAGCAAAGAATACAGGACTCCCCAAACTGATACCACCTGTGGGCAACACAGTGCCTTCCCAGCTACCTAGAGTGCATGTTTCAATGACTCAACAAGCCAAATTTAAATTACATTCATTTGCTTGTCATCTATAACTGATATATGTGCATTCTAATGATACTTCTGGTTTCTGTCTTTCTTTTTTTCAAGATAAGCATGCCTGATTCCAACTTCACATTGACAAATGGTTTTGGAAAATAGATCCCAAGAGAAGTCAGTATCTGCCCACAGTTCCCTTCCCAGCAGGAGACACACCCAAAGAATTCCATAAGCAACAAACTAAAGGATCTATTCCTGGACCAAAAGCTGCAAGAATCCTCAGACATTTCACTGCACCCTGCCCCCCGCCAGTCATCCCTGTCAGGGACTCTGATAAACACTCTGGTTGATACAGCTATGCAGCAAATGGGCCAATAAGTATAAACAGCTGTACTTACATGTGTCTGGCTTGAGCTGACTGTTGGTAATGCCAAAGTACTGGGGATTTTCAATGACAGGGATCTTGGTCATTCCAATAATGACAGCATCTGGGCCACCTTCTGAAGAAGATGGGGTGTTACTCCCATTGGAGATGTGATGGAGTGGGCTGGCAGAGTCATCATCATTGCTGATAACGGAAGCTGGCCCTGGAGATAGAAAAATACATATATTCTCCTGTAATCAACGGTTGTGTTGAGCTGTAATTCACATACATAAAATTTACCCATTTAAAGTGTACAATTCAGTGGGTTTTAGTATATTCATAGAGTTGTGCAATAATCACTATAATCTAATTGTAGGACATTTTCATCACCCAGATAGCACTCACTCCCCATTCTCCCTACTTTCAGCCGAGGATATTCACAGATTTACACTCTATCTCTCTGGCATTTCATATGAATGGAACCATATAATATGTGATCTTTTGTAACTGGCTTCTTTCACTGAACATCATGTTTTTAAGATTCATCCACATTGTAGTATGTATTAGTACTTCTTTTCTTTGTATTGCCTAATAATACTCCATTGTGTGGATATGTCGCACGTTATTTATCCATTCATTTGTTGGTGGACATTTGGGTTGTTCTGGCTTTTTGGCTATTATGAAGAATGCTACTATGAACATTCATATATGAATTTTTATGTGGACACGTGTTTTAATTTCTCTTGGGTGGAATTACTGGGTCATATGGTAGCTCTATATTTAACATTTTGAGGAACTGCCAAACTTTTCCAAAGTGGCTGCACCATTTTATATTCCCACCAGCAGTGTATGAGAGCTCCAATTTCTTCACTTCCTTCTCCTGTAAGATAATATGTAGCTTTCCTCTCTGTTCTGTGATTGTGTCTAGAACACTCTGTCATTGAAACTCTCAACATGAATCTGGGATTCCTATTTCACAGAGCATTGAAAGTTCTTCTGGGAATTTCAGGATCTGGGTTTCTGTCTCTACCCTTTGGACAAGTCACTTACTTTCTTTGGACTTCTACATCCACTCATATGCAAAATAATATTTGCTTATTTTATGACACTAGAATGAGACTAGTAATAGGAAAATGTATTACAAATTTAAATCTGCTTCATGAGTATGTATTACTACTAGGTATTACTAAATGAACTTTAACTGGTAGACCAGATATACATTTGACTGTCCTATGACTATATTCCTCTTTCTTCATATTCTGTGAGTGTCTGCACCACTTTTGTCTACAAAATACTTTTATAACAATAATGGATCAATCCCATGGCAAAGTTACCTGCTTTGTCTTCAGCTGTAATACTCTTTATAGAGTCATTACTTGGTGTCTTTGTACTAAATTAATAATCATAGCATTTTCTGTACAAGACAAATTTTCTAGTCCAAAGTCTCAGAATGTATATGCTCACACATACAGTCTACCATATCCTGTCTAAACAATTTACCCATTAGCCACTAAACTCACACTGTTTGCAACCAAAATTAGATTCGCAAAGATAAAGGTCTACGTGAAAGCTTCAAACCAATGAAGACAGCAGTGGCTCGTGACAGGCACTGTCTACGTGGGAGGTGGACAAGGTATGTGTTACACAGGCAGGGTTCCATGGAGGCAGACCACTGACCTAACTACTGCCATAAGCCCAGAGAAAGAATAAAGAGAAAAGACAATAGGGAGTGAAAAGGCAGAATCAAATGCCCAGCCAAGGCAAATGCCATGCCAGGAAAAGTCTGAATTGCTACTTCCTACGCAAGGAAATGTGCTTTCTTCCAACCCCCCCACTAAATGCATGTTTCAGCACTTCCATCCTTTTTCTGCCTTTTCCCTCACACTTAACTATTTTAGTGAGAAGCACAGCAATTCTGAAAACAAAAGTTGTTTTGTTAACCAGTCTTGAATCCCCTATGAAATATAATAATACCTCATCCCCCAACCTCCAAGATCCATTTTTCCCCCTCATATGGAGATTATCACAGTTTGTAGTGATAACAGTTGGACATTCCCCAGCTAAGCAGTGTCTTAAATAAACTATGCAGTAGACAGCCTGCTGTTATTATAGGTAATTTTTGAAGCATTCTCTCAAGGGATGTGCGTTTAAGCTGCTTTTAATGATGCACTTCGGCTCACTTCTGCAAACAAGTCCTCACACAGCCAATTTAGAAGCCACAAAACACTCAAAAGCAAAGGCAAGCCCATCAGTTATGCTCGTCTTGTGTCTAGCTCACCTGCGTTAGGATACAGCAGAAACCCTGCCAAGAATAACTACAAAGACAAGTTCTTTCCAATATTCCTAATCATCCCTGTTCTGCAACTTGCTCCCTGACAGGACTAGATCATCCAGCTTCTGGCCAGCAATTAAAAATGAAGATGGGTTGGCCGGGCGTGGTGGTTCACATCTGTAATCCCAGCACTTTGGGAGGCTGAGGCAGGCAGATCACGAGGTCAGGAGTTCGAGACCAGCCTGGCCACCATGGTGAAATCCCATCTTAACTAGAAGTCCAAAAATTAGCCAGGTGTGGTGGCACGCGCCTGTAATCCCAGCTACTCGGGCAACTGAAACAGGTGAATCGCTTGAACTCGGGAGGCAGAGGCTGTGGTGAACCAAGATGGCGCCACTGCACTCCAGCCTGGGTGACAGTGTGAGACTCGGTTTCAAAAAAAAAAAAAAAAAAAATGAAGATATGTTATGCTAAGTTTTCTGCATCTTGTCAATAAAACGTCACCACTGACTCCCTTCCTTGGTTCCGGACACGGCTGTTACCTCCTGCAAGGTTACCAAAACATGCTCCTTACTGCCTGAGCTCCCTGAAGGACTACAGTCAAGGCTGCACATTTCTCAGTAGATTCCAGGCACCACCTTTACCCCCAGAAATGCAGGAGCTTCTTTTTCTTAAAATTTCTTGTTTTTATTTCAATAGTTGTTTGGGGAACAGGTGATGTTTGGTTACATGAATAAGTTCTTTAGTGGTTTCTGAGATATTGGTGCATTCATCACCCAAGCAGCAAACAATGTACCCAATGTGTAGCCTTTTATCCCTCACCTGCATCCCGCCCTTTCCCCACAGTCTCAGAAGTCCATGGTATCATTCTTATGCCTTTGTACAGGAGTTTCATTTTAAAACACTCCACATGCTGTCAGAAATCCAGCAATATTTCCTTCTGGAGCCCCTGCAACGATTAGAAATGCATTGACCCCAGTTGCTTTCTTCTCTGACTCTCCTCTGGCCCAGCATGCTCTGAAGTTCATGAACATCAGAGCAGCGTTCAATCATGTTTGAGGAGGCTGATACCTAGAAGACAACTTGAGATTTCCGAATTCAGACTTTGAATCTTCTGCCAAGTGCACAGCGAAGCCCTCACTTAAAGAGTCCAACCAAGTGATTTGCTCTCTGCTTCTCCTTCCTCACTAAGGGATACCCTTTTCTTTCCTAAACCTCTCCAATTAAAACCCCCAACTCCGATGGAACAGATTGGAAGGGAATGAGCTTTTGTTTGGGGAGCGAGAGGAGGATTAAGCATAGAAGCAGTATAAAGTACCACAGGTAATTTTTCAAAAGTCTTTTCACTTTGCCAGAAAAATCACTGTTGACAAATGTGAGTAACACATAAACCTCAACAATTCATCAAGGGGGATATTAATTCAAGTGCTGTTTTCTTCATTATTGATGTTCCAAAACCTAGAAGACTGATATGGCTGTCAAGGTTGCAGGGTTTAAGCCCATTTTTCTGTGAACATTTTGATATAATGGAATGCAAAGCACAGCAAAGTTGGGAAGGCAGAAGCAGCTCTCAGTGGGGACAATGAATGTCTACATAATTTGACAGCAGCCTGTCTGCGCATATCACAGGATGTGTCTTTGTATGTCTATGCATGTGTTTGAGCAGGCACCACGAAAAAGATAGAAGAATAAAGGGGCACATCACCATGTGTTAAACAAAATTCATATGAGGACTTGAAAAACTGCATTATAATATTCATATAAAGTTTTAAATGGCGAGGTATGTGCACACTTGGCTGATTTAGGGTAAATAGTTCTAGTCACTCAGCTGACAAACATGAGTTCAGTCTGGAAACATTTTTAGCCCATTTTTATTTTAATATGTCTGCTTGGTCGCATATCCTGTACTATGACTTTACAGACATTTCTGAGCCTATCGTAGACTTAATTTCCTGTGATAAGAATCACGAAGGTCGTCTGGGGGAGTTTTCTTCTCTCAATACCAATAGTGCCTTCAAGGTGAGGGGAAGGGTTAGTACTCTTGAGCAGCTGTACTAAGCAAGCCTTTTTATATTCTGGATTCTGGTGCTTTGACATCTGGGGCCCTGCTGATCCTGGAGGGACAGCCCTCCCACAAAGGGTGAGTCAGTTCCTACAGATGGCAAATACCCTGCCTGGGAGCACGCCTTTCAAATGCAAATCAACCAATCCAGAGACAACACCCCCAACCACCTTCCTCACGTGAGGCTCACACTTCAGGCCACTGTCCACCTGCCCTCCCCATGCCAGGACCAGGTACTTGACAACTCTAGACAGCTCCTGTACCCTAGAGCCTGTTGAAATTACTCAGACTAGCCAATCCTAAACCTGTTTACCCTCCCTCCCCAGTTCCTTACCCTGGAAACACACTAAAAGCTCCTGTCCCAGTTCTCCCTTCCCTCCTCTGCCTCTTAATGTATCCCAGCGCTTCCCCACGTGGCTCTGCATTGCGCAGTGTGCCCCTTTCTTTTGGGAACCATGAGTAACACACTATCTTCTCAATGGCAATCATCTCCTAAACTGTTGGTCTCAGCAGACTTGAAAAATAATGAAACCTATGTTTTGTAAGAGCAGCACCTCTGCTGGATTGCAGCTGGAAGAATAATTCTGAAGAACTCTCTGCTGTGGCCTAAAACAGTAAAACCACATTTTTGCAGCTTTTCAGGAACAAGCGCCCTTCAGTAGTGCAAATTGGCTTGAAAAAGTATTTAAGTGGTTGGAATGACTTGCAATTTAGCAGAAGCAAGACCCTGTCTTATAGCACTGTTATGGGAGAGTTTATTACCACCTTCCCCAAAAACACACGCGATACACCTGTGCACGCATACGCATCAAACCCGTAAAACAGAACACCTTTAAGACTGCCCAGGCAGGATGATCCCTCCAGTATCTTGGTAAAGTGACAATGATCAGCTGTGTCTGAAATTCGCCCCTGGGGAGCTGCCTAGAATCCCTGACTACTTGAGCTTGATGTTCTAACTTTGCCAGGGCTCCACTTCCCCTTTGTGGGTTAAGAACTTTAACTTTGGAATCCATGGAACTAGCAAGAGTGAAGGTGACTTCCCCCCCATGCCCAGGCCCCCTCTGGCCAGGCTGCCTCAGCTCACTGGTCATTTTTGGATCACTGGACAGACAGTGATAGAGGCTGCCCAACAAGACAAGGTCTGATGTCAGGTTCGAAAGTGACAGGAAACAGCTCCTTATATGGCCAGGTTAAACAAGCATAGGGTGGACAGTTTGGAATTGAGCAGTCTCCTGACATGGATACATTTCCCCTACTTTGACATTTTACCTATGGCCAACCTTGCTACCAAAAGAAACACTATATGAACCAACAGATGCCCAAGATGGTCGGATCTTGGAAACCCACGTGAAAGATGTAAGAATGCCTGTCTTCTCATGCCTTCTGAGCAATTCCTGTTCATTGTCTCTGTACCCATAGAAAATTCTGAACAAATTAGAGGTCCCAAGAGATCACACCTGATTTCAATTCTAATGATGAGATACATCATCTGTATTCACTTGGTAAGCTACAAACTCTGCTTTTCAATTGTCAGCACATAGTCTGAATGCGGGAAATAGAATGCAATCAAGCACAAATCACAGCGTCTGGACGTTAGAATCTGTTTTGAAAGAGGAATGGTCATAAATGGAAACTGATTTACCAATTCAGAACTCTATTACATCTTGGCCAATGGAAGAAAGTTAAGACCTAAACTTGTCCAGCTTGACTGTTCAATCAACTATTCCCTGTTGCATTTATTTTCTTAACCTTCTTAAAAATGCATCACAAACTAGAACTGGAACGACAGTTAACACTCCCCCCACAGGATAAAAACGAGTCAAATCTAAAACTGTAAAACCATGTACTGAACTCAATTAACAACAGTAATGCCTTTTCTGGAAAAATTCTAGACCTACTTCCTCAACAAATCAAAAACCAGGAACACAGAAAATGAATCAAAGACCGTGGAATGTAAAGAAGGTCCAAGCATTTTCATCTGAATAAAAACATAGACTCATTACTTATCCAAAGAAGGAGTGAGTTAACTACTTACCAACACCTTGTCTTGATTTTACTTTCCCAAATCCAAACCATGAGAAATCTGAAAACCACAACAAAACATAAAATAAACTTCGAAAGAGAAGTAGAAACCAGAGGTGGTCAACACTGTCCTTGGTCAAATAATGCAACAAACTCCCCCCGACAAAAAATAAATAAATAAATAAACAAACCACTTGGGATGAAAGCTTCCTATCAAACACCTGGAAACTAACGCTTGAATTTCTGTGTTAAGATTTATTTCCCATTCAGAGAACACGGAGACTCCAATCAGATAAGAGAGAGCAGCCTGTCTATGAGAAAAATAGCCACAACCCAGGGTTTAGGGCTCTGAGCGGTTTTCTTTCTTTCTCACTTTCTTTCTTCCCCCTTAGTGGAGAGATCATTGCCTTGTATTGAATCATCTGACAGGGAAGCTGCAGGGGTGAAGACACACACAATGCATTTGACAAATGCATTACGGTTCTGAACCACAGCAATGTGGGAAAATAATAAGAGAAAACAGATCTTTTTTGAAGCTGAGACAGATAGTAAAAAAAAGGAGCACAAAATCCCGTGGGAGAGCAGACACTTGGGCTAGATAGTTTAGGAGGGAGGGACAAAAAGATCTTAACTCTACACAGATTCTTGCTCCTGACTTGCTGTGTGACGCTGGACTGTGTACAGCTGTTCTGTGCCTCTTACAACACAAGGTCCAGTAGGCACGTGTAAGAAAATATCTGCCAAACGTCTGGAGAGCCTCCTGTGAATAAAGCCACAGTGAAATGTCTACTTGCTTCCTGAGCCCAGCTATTTCCTTCTAGGTAATTTCCCTGGGTTCAAAGTTAATTCCGCACAGTGGGGAAATCCCTGAATATGAGGAAGATAAAGGGAAGGGACCCCAAATCAGTAACTGTGTTTCCCTCCTCTTTCATAATTTTTACAGGCATTTTGGATAATTAGCTAGCTAAATTGAAGAGAAATCAATTTAAGTGAACAATGTACAGAAAAGCTCTTTGCACACTCAAAGATGACTTAGGAGGTTGTTGTCATGACGATTGCTCAAGGGTAAATGCAGGCTTTTCCTCCCTGGTATCCTACAACTTCAGCCCCCAACTTCTAAGCTGAAGTTTACTTCTGATCGATATTTTCCTCCAAATGCTTCTTTCCAGGTTTTAGAAGACGAGATGGAGGCCTGGCCTTGAGCCAAAGCCAAATAAAGATTCCTTTGCACAGAAGACAGTGAACTTCATTCATTGGAGCTGTTAGTCTAGGGAGGCAGAGTCCTGCTATGGATTTCTTAGTTATAACTAACCCCATTTAAAACAAAGTGTATTATCCCACTGGTCATCTTTTGTTTTCCTAGACTTGTTTGATTTAAACACTTTTTATTAAACCACAGATTGAATTTTTTAAGCCTAGTTTTTTTCACTTAAGTAATTTTTCAACGTTACATTCCCATTTTAGAGAGAACCCACCAAAGGGCAATGCCATCACAATCCCTCACTGATTGCACATTTCAGATTATTTTTGATCATTAACTATAATAAACACAACTGCAATGAACATCTTTACACATCTTAAGTGCTCCCCTTCTCTTGTTAAAAATAATTCCCTTAGATAAATTCTAGAAATTGAATTACTCATTCAAAAAGAATGAATATTGTGAAAGTTCTCAATACAGGTTATCAAATTGCTACAACACTATGCCAGGTCTCACTGTCACCAACAGTATTTGAGAGGGTAGAAGGGTATTTTTGAGCTCTACCCAATGGGAAAACTAAAGAGGAACAATTTCCCCTTACAGGAATTGCTGAATTCCCGACCGTTGGTGTGGCTCCACCTAATTGGGAAGAGACCTGGCGAATATTCCCCTCCCATCGGTGTCCCATGAAACCATTCACACCTCACCTCTCCCAAGCTGGAGTTTTGCACAATGAGAACTGCAGATATACAGAAAATAAGAATTCCTCTCACCTGTGAAGTCATTACAGTTCACTGAGTGCCTCCACCCCCCGACTGGGCACTTCTTCCTTGGTCCTCAGCCAACCTTTGTTTACATGAGAAATTATCTGATGCTTATTGACGAGGAACTGAGACTCAGGGAGACTGATACACTTAGCAAATCTCTCGGCTTGTGGTGACCGAGCCTGGATTCATATCTTCTGATGTCAAATCATAGTGGGGGTTTTTTTTTTTCATTCTTTTTTAGTTGCATTTCCCATGCTCCAAAATCACCAAAATTAACCGAATTTTATAACAGTATAATTAGAATTCAATTTTAAATATAGAAAAACACTATAAGTAGTTATTCATTCTCATTTATTTATTTATCAGGCAGAACAGAGCCTTCAAAGAGAAATGAACTGCAAAGCAGCCCTTAAGAAGCTGGCCGGGCACGGTGGCTCACGCCTGTAATCCCAGCACTTTGGGAGGCCGAGGCGGGCAGATCACAAGGTCAGGAGATCGAGACCATCCTGGCAAACACAGTGAAACCCCGTCTCTACTAAAAATACAAAAAAAAAAAAAAAGAAAGAAAAAAAGAAAAAAATTAGCTGGGCATGGTGGCAGACGCCTGTAGTCCCAGCTTCTCGGGAGGCTGAGGCAGGAGAATGGTGTGAACCCGGGAGGCGGCAGAGCTTGCACTCGGTGGAGGATGAGCCATCTAAGACGTAAGTTCAGAGTGTGGGAGCTCAGAAAAGAAGCCTCTATTCCAATGGAGGATTGGAAGGGGGCTCAAGAGAGAGGGCTCAGAGGATTTCTAGAAAATAGATTACAATTAGCCAAGAATGGGAAAGAGCAGAGGAAAGAACGCTGACTGCACTCAGAATCCAGTTCTGGCTAAGGTGAGAAGTGCTGAATGTGTCCAGAGGCTGATGCAGCTGGAAGGTGGGTGGGGAGAGGGAACTGAGAGGTACAAGTAAGGGCCAAGTCAAGAGTTTGGATATTGTAGTGAAAATTGCACAGTTAGGCTCAAAAAAAAAAAAAAAAAAGAAAAAGAAAGAAAAAGAAAGAAATCAAACTCAAGCCAGGAAGTAACACTGTCAAGATTAATTTTAGAAAAATCATTTTGGCTGCAGGGTGAAATCAGGATTACGGGAGGAAAAAACCGAAAGCAAGAGATTGGTTAAGGAAGTTTTTAGAGAAATCAAGGCATGAGAGAATTGTGGCCTGAACTGGGAATTTGGGAAGGGGAAGGTAAAGGAAAGGAGATGACTGCAGGCATATTTAGGGACAGTAGCAGAACTTGGTGATTGACTGCAAATTGAGGGGAGTGCAGAGAGAAAACAATGAAGGTTTCAGATTTGGACAATTAAGTATATGGTTATGCTGCCCACAGAGTCCCTAAGGAACTTAGAAGGAAAACAGATTTAGGAGTCAAACTGAGAACATGGGTTTTAGCCACAAATTTCAAACAAGGTGCCTATGTGAAGAAAATGGAAAGCAATACCCTCAGTTGGCAGGATGGTCTGAAGCTCAAGACACAGGCTTAATATGAAAATTCTAGAGCCCATAGATCAACCTGAGAATGGAAACTGGACTCTCTACCTAGGATTCGTTTCTCATTTGGGCCTATACAATGTCCTGTCTTATAGGCACAAATGAAGGAGCACCCAGCTGAGGCCAACTTTTGACAAAATTGTTCTTAAATTAATCAACTATTTCTACGTTCTGTTTAAAATTAACTCAGTCATTATGTAGGAGAGAATACAATCTTCTTGATCATACCACACACTTTCTTGAACATTTAACAGACCAGATACAGAAAGGTCAGGCTGGCACCTCTTCCCTAGAAGCTGTTATGCATTCAACAGCTCTTTCTTGATGGATTTAAGCAGTCGTTTTAAAACTTTAACACTAAATTTCACAAGCAAAATTTTCCCACAAGGCCAAAAAGAAACAATTTCTCAATTTCCTGTGATGTTTCATCCATGGGGAGTAGAGTCCTGCCAAACCTGCTTTTATTTTCTGTTTAATAAGAGAGACTTTATTCACTCCAAAATAAAGGGCTCCTTCAAAAGTAAATGTAGCTGTACTGAGCTTAAAGAATCCCCTCCTTTTGGAATGTAGACCAAGAAAGACTCTAAATTATGAAATTAACCAATTAAAGCCATCTCGTCTTGAAGAAAGCTCAACATTTTCCCTGACCGGAGAGAAGGAATATAGGAAAAAATAGCATGTAAACACATTAACAACTCTAAGATGGAATTCAAATTAAATAAAATAAATGGCAAAAAAAAAAAAAAAAAATACTGCTTTTAAAATTTCTCTTAAAGGAAAGAGCTAAAACGTAGGGGGTTGAAAAGGAATATTTATGATGTAAATGAGAGAATCAGAGGAAGGAGCTGGGAACAGGCAACATGGAAGAAACCCGACCTTCCCTGTAGGTACTGAATAGCTCAAACATTAAACATGAGGCTTAGAAAGGTTCTGATCTCCAGAGAAAACAGCTTCTGGATATTTTTAAGTTTCAGAAAAATCATTTTAGTATGTTAAGAGAAAATTAGCTTTCCTCCCTTCTAATGCTGAAGAAATTAAAATTTGCCATGTTCTCAAATGAATTTCTTTAGGTTTTAAGGTAAGACTCACCACCCTCCACCCCCAAGAAAAATGACTTTACCGTTGTCATGGAATCAAATGGTAAAATATGATTTACTAATAAAAATGGACTTCACCTCCAACTTCTTAGGACCACACCCACTCCCTAAAGGACGTTTGAAAGAGGAGTCTCTAGGCTGCTTTGCTTCAGGGAGAGGATGGACCAGAGTTGAGTCCAGAGTAGGTAGGCCAAGTGCTTGCCTGTGTAGCCAATGAACTGTCACATCTAAGATCTAGAATGACTGCTCATTGGAGTGAGAGAAAATGAACACAAAATTCGCCTTGTTGACAGTATCATCATCTCCCTTTCCTACTAGCACATAATCAGGGTGAGTAATAGTGTGCTTCAAATTAATTCCAGGTCCTCCGGGCACAGAACAGTGTAGTTTGGGGCCAAGTTTCCACTTCAATTTGATCTTAATCTTTTACTTAAGGACATACCCTTAATAAAAGAAAGTCCCATCT